AAGCTTATGCCCAAATAAATCTGTTAGTCTTTAAGGTGCCACCAGACTCCTTGTTGTTTTTGTAGATACAGACTAACACGGCTACCCCCTGATATTTGAAATCAAGGTTGCTCTTTTTCTTGAAAGACATGCGCTAGTTCCAACAGGAGTTAATTCAGTCAACTCTTACAGTCCATGTAATATATGAGGCCAGACTAGATTAGAACAGTGCCTGGCTTTCTAATATCTAGGATTTTGTTCAGCCTTTGCTAGATTAAAGGGCTGCCTACTATCAGAAATCTCTTCCTTGTGTAGACTGGGGTGAAGTTGCCCCTTGCCCAATCCAGTCTATCCAAGAGGAGGTTATCTTCAGTCTCTCGCTGCGAGGCCTGGTTTTCAGATTTAGATGAGGAGGCATGCAAGGACTGTGGTTACTGACCCCCGGCCATGTGATTTTTCTCGTTCACAGATCTCACAGACTCTGACCCTTCTGTCTACCAACTGAAGTCCCAAGATGGAAAATTTTCAGCTTGCCTTTTCACAGACTTCGCCCCTGAGAACATCTCAGTTGGGAGTTCACACAATGTTCTGACACAAGTCAGTGGCTCCATTGTGCAGGTGAAAAACCCAGACAGCGGAAAAAAGGAAGCGAGCTATGGGACAGTGCTTTGGAGAAAAGAGCAGTCACTTCACTGCTTCGCTGAACATAAAACAAAACCATTCTATATGGACAACAGTGACGAGGAAGGTAAATGGGGGGGCGGGGAGGTGATCTCTAGGCTGCAGGCTGGGCTCTGGGCCCTGGCTGGTGGTGACCAATGAAATGACCCGTTCTTGTTGACATGTGGGAGATATGGATGAGCTGGTGGCGGGGATGATGGGTCTTGTGATGTAATTGCTGATGTTGTTAGAGTTGTCTAAAGGAGTCAGCCACCCAAGTCCCGCTGGAAGTCAATGGGGAATCATCAGTGAATGGAATTGTTTCTAGTAGGGGTCCACAGGCACCGGTGCTAGGCAAGATGCCATTAAATCGATGACCTGGAAGCAAATATAAAATCACTGTTCTTAAAATTTGTGGGTGACCCAAAGATTGGCAGAGTGGTAAACAAGGGGGCGGCCAGGGCACCCTGGTTCACTTGGCCAGCCGGCCCATTCAGATAAAACGTGCTTTGAGAAGCCGAAGGCAGAGTTATACATCTAGGAACGCAGGCCACCCCCACAGAACAAGGGTCTGTATCCCAGAGAGCAGCGAGGCTGAAAGGGATTATGGGGTCACAGTGGAGGAGCAACCAAACATCAGCTCCCAGTGCGGCCCTGCACCGAGAAGGGCTAATACCCTCTCGGACATGGTACCAAGTGCCCTGCTCACCCAGAGGCGTCCCTTCGCAGCCACGTGCAGCGGGGCAGCTCCTGGCGGGGCTAGCGGCCCGCCGCCCCGGTGACGGTCACTGCAGCACTGTGGGGGTTTCTTTGACAGGTGGCTCAGCCCTCTGGCTGGGTCAGTCGTTAGCCCACCCCTGCCGGGGTCACAACGCTCCAAACTGAGCTTCCAAACTCTACCAGAAACAAAACGTTCCGGCCTCTCCTGCAGCCAGGCTCTTCCCCAGTGACTGAGGGGCTTCCCACAGGCATTTCCCTCTGGCCCTTCCCCGAGCTGGGCCCTCCTAGTGCTTCCACCTGACTCCCGATACCTCTCAGGTGGGCTCGGCCCCAGCCTTGGCAACCCAGGGAGCATGCCACCCTGTTACAGAGGAGTTGTGAGTCGGCCGGGTGGGGGGTGGCTTGACCTGTGTACACAGCATGGGGGAGCCCAGTACTGCATCCGCCTTTCAAAAGGGTGCGGAATAGAGCTACAGAAATCATTGGAAAGGCTGGGAGATCCCTTGCAGCGAGCTCAGTCTGTTTCTCTGCCCACAAAGAAGGTCAAGGTGGCTTGGTTAGAGTGCCCGAGTACTGTCAGAGGGGGAACACGCAGGGTCCTGGAGGGCTCTTTCACCCAGCTGAGAAAGGCACAACAAGAACCCCATGCTGGAAGCTAAAGACAGAGAAGCTGAGATGAGATTTGAGCACAACTTTCTAGCAGCAGGGGTGACTAAGCCCTAGGACAAAATCCCCAGGGGAGGGCTGGATTCTCCAGCTCTGGCTGGGTCAGCCCAAGCCTGAGGTCCATCTGGAAGATGCTTTACTCAGACACACGATTGGGATCAATACAGGGGTGCCTGGGGAAATTCTCTGGCTGTCTTATGCAGGGGGTCCGACTAGATGATCTAATATTCCTTCTAGCCATACAATCTGTGACACTCTGAACCTTAGCCCGTGTGTGCACAGCACCTAGCGCGCTGGAGCCCTGTTCTCAGCTGGCCCCTTAGCACAGCCATTGGAAACATGCTAAATACAAAGACACAGATACTTGTGTAATTTAATTTGTTTTGATTATTTCTATTAATAGCTGATGGGTATTTTTATTTACAGGTGACACCTGTGGGATGATAGAGATGGATGACAATTTTGAGACAGGTATGGATGCAGTGTCCAGGATAAAGCTAGGACTGATAAGAGGAAGCACTTACATAAGACCATAAGAACGGCCAGACTGGGTCAGACCAAAGGTCCATCTAGCCCAGTATCCTGTCTTCCGACAGTGGCCAGTGCCAGGTGCCCCAGAGGGAGTGAACAGACAGGGCGTGGATCACTTCATGATAACCTGTCACCCAATCCCAGCTTCTGGCAAACAGAGGCTAGGGACACCACTTCTTTAACCTGTGGAACTCTCTGCTGCATGGAATTGCTGAGGCAAAGAGCTTCATCTGGGACTTTCAAAGTGGGCCGAAGGGAGTTAGAGACTGACTTTCAAAGGGAGTTGGGCACCCAACTTGTGAAAATCTCAGCATCTGTGAACAGGATCAGCTAGTCTCTGGTAGGGTCAATGTCATCTCATTCCTTGTAGTTTCCAGCTGCATCTAACCCCCGAGTAAGAGCCAGGAGTGAGGCAGACATCAGAAGCCGTAGTGTGTGTGTGTCTCATCTTTTGTGACCTTTGCTTTCCTGTTATCTTACAGACGAGAAGCTGAACCTCCTGTCATTCACGCTGCTGGGCCTGAGAATCGTTTTTGTGAAAGGAGTGGCGGTTAACCTGCTACTGACCATCTGGCTGTGGAAAAGCTAAAGTGAGTGGGATGGGGAAGGCTACGGGGATCTGTGTAATCCAGCCAGCCAGTCTTCCTTCACCCTCTAATCTCTCTCTCCATCCATCCGTTCCTCAGCAGCATCTATCTGTGTAGCTATCTAGCCATCTTCCCCTCCAGAACATCTTTCTCTCTGTCCAATCTATCCATCCTTCCCTCCACAGTATCGCTCTTCCTATCATCTGTCCATCCTTCCCTCCACAGTATTGCTCTTCCTATCATCTGTCTATCCTGGCTTCATAGTCTCTATTATCTATCAATCCATTTTTCTCAATATCTGTCATCTGTCTACCTATTACCTTCTATCCTTCCTTTGCACTTGTATTATCTAAGGATCCATCTTTTCTATCACTCCTTCCTTCCCAGGATCTGTTTATTCATCTCCACCCATCCTTTTCACTATCCATCTGTCCGCCGACCCATTTTTCCTTCCCACTGTCTACACATCTATCTATACCCAAGCACACCCCTCTATCCATCCAACCCCATAAACAGCTATCTATCCATCATACCCACTATCCATACATCTGTCAATCCAGCTTTCCTTGCCAGTAGCTATCCATCTCTCGCGCTCTCTGTTTATCTTCCCATTCCTAGTTCTCTACCCAGCACACTGAAATTCTTCATCCTGGCTGGGGTCTCCAGACCTGACCGTAAACAATGAACTGACCCTCTCATCCTGCTCTCTTTACAGGAGTGGAAGGAAAGAGGACAGATGGAATCTGGAGAGATGGGAATTCTTCAGAGACCTGCTGTCATCTCTTCACCTTCCCCTGCAGCAGGAAATCGAATACAATGAATGATCCCCATATCACCTCTGTAGTTAGGCCTGATGTATAATGATCGGCTGTGTTTTCATTTAGCGAGTTTTAGAAGGATCTCACGTACCTAGCCTGGTTTTTCCATGATCCTCATTCCTTTCACCCTCCACAGACTGACACATTTCTCCTCACAAGCTCCCAGTGTGAGGCAAGGAATTGCTATTAACTAGAGCTGGTCAACAAATGTGTGTGAAAACATTTTTTGATGGAAAATTGGGGTTTCAATTTTTTTGGCAGAAAGTCCCCATTTTCCTAGAAAAAAAAACTTCAAATTTTCATCAGAAACCCAAAATGTTTGGCTAAAAACTGAATATTTTTCCATTTGTTTGTTGTTGTTCTTTTACAGTTTTTGGCCACAAGATTTTTCAGATTTGTCTGAAAATTTTCAGTTCTCAGTTGTCAAACACCAAAAACAACTTTTGTAAAGGTTTTTTTAAAAGTTTAAACTTTTTTAAACATTTTTTTCCAGTGCAAATTTCAACAAAAGTGAATATTTTTTTAGTCTTCATTGAAATTTTCTGCAGAACAAACCAGCTTTACCATTAACCCTATTTTGAAAAGGGCAAATTGAAGCACAGAGAATGAGGCTGAGATTTTCAAAGCCACCTAAGGGCTTTGGGCTCCTGCTTCCCTTGGAAATCAATGGGAATTGTGCATTAAAATCTCCTAGGTTGAATTTTACACTCTCTGCCACACACTGGGATTTTCAAAGCGGCCTAGCGGAATGAGGCCTCCATCTCCACTTGAAATTCAATAGCATTTAGGCAGCTAGTTCCTTGGAAAACCCAGCCAACACATTTCTGATAGTAGTGGGTTCTTTAAGGCAGATGCGTGGAAGTTGACGCTAAACAAATTCAGCCTGGCAATAAAGTGCAAATTAACAGTGAGGGTAATTAACCATTAACTAGACATGTGTGGATTTCCCTCACTTGAGACTGGATGTCTTTCTAAAAGGCTGCTGGAGTTCACCTAGACGTTGTGGGCTCAAAGCAGGGATCAGTGGGCAAAACTCTCTCATTGTGTTATATGCAGGAGGTTGGGCTAGATCAGAATGGTCTGGTCTGGCCTCTGTGACTTGAAGAAACTCATTCAAATACTCCATGCCGCAGTCTCTACCCATCCCTGCTCTGCAGAATTGGAGGCCAGATGCCCGGGTGGTAGAAGTCAGCACAACCTCACTGATTTTCATGCAGTTACAGCAATTCTGGAAGATGTGCGTTAGTCACAGACAGGTTCTGGGCTCATTGCAGGAGAGATGTAATAGCCAGGAAATCAGACTAGTCTTTCATGCTGTAAACGCTATGAATTTATACCAGTTCAGGACTGATCCTACATTTTATTTTTCCAATCTGCATTTATACCGTCCCTTAGCTCTGTTAACCTGACTTTCAAAATATATCTCCCTATTTTAAACATTTTTAAAATGTGATATTTGCTCATGTTTATGCTTTGGAAAAGATTTTATCATTTGTTTTCATTTCCTGCCGAGCTTCTTTGTATGGCATTGATGAGATGATCATGTACTCACATTTCCGGTCCGCCCTGGGCTGCTATTAAAGAACTTGGCTGAGCGTGAGAACTCTTGTTGTTTTGTGTGTCTAGCCCTGGGGGATTTATTCAGACAACCGGCTGAGGAAATACAGGGAGGAATTCCACCTAATGGACAATGGGTGGGCTTGGGTGAGAAGATGGTTGATCTTCGTCCCAAGCATTGAGTGTTGGCCATTATTAGGAATGGGATACAAGGCCTTTCCCCTCTCTCCGGCGCAGGATGGGGGGTCAGGGAATGGGATATGGGAGTTCTCCCTTCTAGCCAGTTCCAATCCGCCCCCACGGCTGAGGGACTTGCTGGCTCAGAGGGGTGAGGAATGGGATATGGGGTCTTTCCCCTCTAAGGGGCACTGGCTGAAAATATCAGCCAAAGCAAATGGCCCACATTGAAACGACAGGTGAGGACTAGAACCCAGGTCTTCCGGGGCCTGTCCTAGTCACTAGCCACACTGCCTGTCCAGCAAGAGATGCAGCATGTGCCAGCGTGAGCAGCTCTGCTGGTTTCCAGCTGCTGTCAGGAATGGTCCCGAGGATATCACGTACTCATGGGACGGCTCCTAGCTAGCCTCTGCCCAACCATCCTCTTCATCTCCGTTCCACCGGGGGCCATGGGGAGAACAGAATTCCCTGCCCTCCTCTCAGCATACTCAAACTCCTGCAGCTCTGCACTAAGTCACTGACTCTCATCCATTCTCATGCTTCAGGGCTGTAGCCAGTCGCTGGCTGATACACGGTTGGCCAGATGTACTCCAGATTTCCCCCCCCAACACACACACACTGTCCTCTGAAGCATCAGGGATTGGTCCCAGCTGGAGATGGGACACCAGGCAGGGATGGCCAGGGCGCTGCGGTGGTACAGAGAATCCTCTTTCTAGATGCTGGGCCGGTGCATCTTGTTCACGTGATCAAGGTCACCAGATTTGGGGTCAGGAAGGAATTTGCCCTGGGTCAGACTGGCAGGGACCTGGGGGAGGTTCGCCTTCTTCTGCAGCATGGGGCACCAGATTTACCTGAGCATCACTCACCTAAACAATTCCCTGCCACGTAGGGGACTGTGACGTACAGGGGGTCAGACTAGAAGATCTAATGCTCCCGTCTGGCCTTAAATCCCATGAAATCTACCACAGCCCTTCTCTCTAGGCGAACCACCGACCCCCGTCACCCTCGGATCTGAGCCGCGCCCGGCTAGTGAGGGATTCTCCAAGGCCACCTGTAACACTGCCTGTAATTTAGTCATCAAGCCAGCTTCATGCAAACCGGGCCCGGTGCAGAGAGGGCGACTGGGATGATCGGGGGAATGGGGAGCAGCTCATAGGAGAGGGGGTGGACAGAGCGCTCGCTGTAAATATCCTGGGGGGCGAGGACCACGGAGCAGGGAGCTCTTGCAGCACCTGAAGTTCGCTGGCCAGGAACAAATTACAAGGTTTCTAACCCTCAGAGGAGGCAGCCTCCCAGCAGGTGCCAGTGGAGGACAGACGCCCAACACGGTTTAGGAAGGAGTTTGGTACGTTTATGACCAGGATGGATTGTGCCAGCAGGGTACGGCACTCGACAGCCCAGGAGGCGCCTTCCAGCCCTGTGCCCGATTGTTAGGGCCCTACCGAATTCACAGTCCAGTTTGGTCAATTTCACAGTCAGAGGATTTTAAAAATAGTAAATATCATGATTTCAGCTACAGAGGGTCCTGTGGCACCTTTCAGACTAACAGATGTATTGGAGCATAAGCTTTCGTGGCTGAATGCCCACTTCGTCGGATACGTGTCAGATAAATGATTTCAGCTATTTATCTAGGATCGGGGGTAGCCGTGTTAGTCTGTATCCACTGTGATAAAGCTCTGTCCTAGTCTCCATGGGTCCTGCGTTTCCTGGCGGATTTCACTAGCCTCAGAGACTCACTGTGACCCTCCACGTAGCCCGTCTCTCTCTAGAGACAAGGGTCACAGTCTACGGAGCCATCTTCATCATAAGCCAGCAAGGGAGGTGAGGAGAAGCAGCCCTCCCTCACACAGTCTCTGTTGTCTCCCATTCTCAATGATTAATCGGGGAGGGGAGGGGGAGCCCGGGCCCGCCCTCTACTCCGGGCTCCAGCCCAGGGACCCTAAAATTAGCAGCTATGGTAGCTGACTTTTTGGAAATAGGACGTGTACAATTCCCTGGGGCACTTCCCCACAACAGCCCCCACTCAACATCTCCTTCACCGTTACCTCAGGGCCTCCTTGCTTGCACCTGATATGGATTCGTACTACTTCGTTCCTCCAACAGCACAGCTCCCTCCTATAGCTCCTGACACCCATCCCACACTGACTGACTGGGAGGCTTTTAACTAGTTCCAGCCAGTCCTTGATTGGCTTCAGGTGTCCCAATCAACCTAGCTGTCTCCACTGCCTTCTAGAAGGATCTTAATTGGCCCCAGGTGTCTTGATTAACCTGGAGCAAGTGCTATTTGGTTACCATGGTACCAGGGATTTGTTTAGCCTGGGGTTAACATACCTGTTCCTCACTACTTTACTGTAGCCATCTGGCCTTGCCCCATCACACCACAAAAACAACGAGGAGTCCACTGGCACCTTAACGACAAACACATTTATTTGGGCATAAGCTTTCGTGGG